GAATGGAGGCAAGGAAAACTAAATTTTCAACTCAGGTTACTGAGTACATGATGGAACTACCAACTAAGATAGGGATTATCCAAGGGGAGCAAGGTTTGGGGGCTACTGAAGAGTTCATTCTGGAGCAGATTGAGGTTTTGGTGCCTCTGAGACATAGCATGCAGTCATCTGATATACTGGTCTGTAGCTGGACCTATGGGAGTTACTGATATTTAGTAATTTTGATTATGGTTTAAAACCTCAAGAATGGAAGATTTCCTAGGGGAGGAGGATGTAAAGGGAGTAGATGGGTGGCCAAAGACAAAACTCAGTGTGCATTATGGTACTGAGATAGAACAGACCTTAGAAATCTAAAGTGTGGGTCCATCGGAGAGAAGGAGGGGAGAGGGTAGAAATTTCCTGAGTAGAGGGAAATTTTAGAGAGATAAGAAGCAGACCAAATATGAACTCACTCTGTGACAAGCCCTCAGCTTCTTTTTAAAAACTTATTGAATGCCAATGTCAACTATTTTGTGTGTGATATATTAGAAAAATAATTTGCTGAAACTGTTTTTCCATCTTGTGGTTAGTGTTTTGGGAAATAAGTTCTCATATATTCATTTTCCAGGAGAAATATTAACGTCATGGTATAGGATGAGACTAAAGTAACTCATATTCATGAACTTCTAAACAATGGGACTCTTAGAAAAATAACTAAAAGCAGCCTTACTAATTTCCAATCTTTGTATTTTTTATGAACAGAAATATTTAGTCTATTTTATTTTTTATTTTATTTGTTTATTTATTTATTTATTTATTTGAGATGAAGTCTCGCTCTGTGGCCCAGGCTGGAGTGCAATGGCATGATCTCAGTTCACTGCAACCTCTGCCTCCCGGGTTCAAGTGATTCTTCCATCTCAGCCTCCCTAGTAGCTGTGATTACAGGCACCTGCCATCCTGCCTGGCTAATTTTTGTATTTTTGTAGAGATGGAGTTTCACCATGTTGGCTAGACTGGTCTTAAACTCCTGACCTCAGGTGACCTGCCCACCTCAGCCTCCCAAAGTGCTGGGATTACAGGCATGAGCCACCACTCCTGTCCTAGAGTCTATTATTTTAAAGAAAGAAACATAAATACAACATTAACCACAGAAAAAGAAAAAGACTTTATCTCTCTCTAAGGAACACATTCTTTCAGTGAGATGCAGCCTTCTTAGTGCCTTTCTAGATAAGATAAGACATTGTACAAACGAAAACTCTTCAATTCTCACCCTTTAAACAGTTGTTTGCTTTGTGAATGCAGTTCTTTTGGCTTGTTTGAGGAAGATTTTGTGGAAGACAATGATACTTTACTGCTTCCTCTTGGAGCGGGAGAAAACTGTTTCTTTTCCTCCCACTTCCCCATTTTTTAAGGGTAGTGCTCGAGTCACACTTGCACTTCCATGCTGAAGCCTTCTATTTGCATCAGCAGTGCGTTCTGGAATCCCACTTTCACATTCCCGCACTTGGCAGACCCGGCTTCTCGGTTTTCTCTGTCTCTACTTCTTGACTTTATTCATTTTTGTTTCAGCCTTTCTTATTGGCAATTCCGTTTTCCAGATACTCTATTCTAGTCTCCATGCATACATTTTGGTTTTGGTTTGGTTTGGTTTGGGGGTTTCTTGCCTAACAGTACAAACAATTAAAAACAGTTCTCTCCTCCTCTTCCTCCTCCTCCTCATCTTCCTCCCCCCCTCCCCTCCTCCTCCTCCGCTTCCTCCTCCTCCTCCCCCTCCCCCTCCCCCTCCTCCTCCCCCTCCTCCTCCCCCTCCTCTTCCCCCTCCCCCTCCTCCCCCTCCTCCTCCCCCTCCTCCTCCCCCTCCCTCCTCCTCTTCTCCTTCTCCATCCTCTCTTTCTCCTTCTTCTCCTTCTTCTTCTTCTTCTTCCTTCTCCTTCTTTCTTCTTGCCATGGCCTTGATAGGGTTATTTTAATTGCTCTCCTCCTTTCTCATGGGCACCACCTAAAAGATACCCACAGAGCTGAACTGCAGGGGTGTGTAGTGGTATATCTAAAGATGAACGTAAAGATGTAACTCTAGGTGTTTCTTTTGGGGATGGCATAACCAGGGAATGAATTTAAATCACTGTTTCTAGATGGATTAAAGCAATGGGCCTTCAACCAAGAAAATGGCAGGTATTTTTACTTTGTGTGTTTATTCTATTTGTTGCTATCCTGAAATTTTCAGCTGACAACAGCCAACGTGGACTTCTGACTTGAGAATTACAAGATAGAAGCTTGGTTCAGGCAATTTCCAAGGGATCATTTAGAGAGAGAGACAGACCTCAGGTCAAATCCCACTTGACTTTAACTTAAATTCCTTAAGATTTTACTTTCCTACCTGTACAAATAGGATAATAAGATCTACCTCATAAAGACTAAATGAGTTCTTGCATGGTAAGGAGCTGTCAGTGTACCTAATATGTGGTACGTGCGCCATAAATACCCCCCACCGCCACCACCCACTTCAGCTCACCACTGTCACCATCTCTGGGACTTTGGACTCTTGACTGCAGTAATATCAAAGGCTTTTCTTCTGAGTGCTTTGGTCTGTGAGTGGTCCTCTCCCAGCCCCTCACCACCTCTGTCCTGATACTATTTTAACAAGGAATTTATCTGTTTGCTTTAGAAGTTGCTGGAAGTTTACAAAGAGGAAACCCAGTAGCTCAGAAGAAATGTATCTAAATCTGATTTTAAAAGTATCTGTTTTATCTGGATTTAAACTAGCTATATTACTTACCTGTTGCTATATAAGAAATTACCCCAAATTCAGTGACTTAAGACAGCCAACATTTATCATCTGACAGTCACTGTGGGTCAGGGACTCGAGACCATCTTAGCTGTGTGGCTCTGGCTCCGGGTCCCTCATGAGGCCGGCATCAAGGCATTAGCCAAGGCTGCAGTCATCCAAAGACTTGACCGGAGATGAGGAACCTATTTCCACATCCACTTACATAGCTGCTGGCAAGAAGCAGTCTAACAGGGATGAGTCTCAGACTCTCCACAGGGCTGCTTGAGTGTCCTCACAACATGGCAGCCATCTTCCTCAGAGCAAGTGGTATGAAAGACAGCAAAAAGGAAGCCATGATACCTCTTATAACCTGGCTGCAGAAGCTTAACACCATCACTGTTACTGTATTCTGTTCACTAAGTCAGCCAATACTAAAGGGTACAGAATTAGGTTCCATCTCTTCTCTTCTCTCTCCTCCTCTCCTCTTCTCTCTCTTTCCTTTATCTTCCTCTTCTCTTGCTGTGCCTCAGTTTCTTATCTGACCAAAGGTAACTTCTGTCCCCTAGGGATGCTATGAAAACAAAGTGAGATCAATCATATGAAAAGGCAGTTTTGGAAGGAGAGTTCAGAAATTCTATATAACATACTATATACCATAACCATGGAAACCTGAGATCAGCTCTGTCTAGCTTCCTGCTCTTGCATCTGAGGAAACCGTTCCAGCTCACGCAGGCATGGCTTAGTCACAGTGCCGTGTGGGTTCCTTTAATGTGTCCTCTCTGAGCACTGACCTGCTCAGACACAGGAGCCAGCACCAGGCCCTTTCTTCCTTCTCCTGGGCAAGCAGCACCACTCCTGACAGAAATAGCAAAAGAAGTTAAGTTCTGTGTTCCTTATTAGATTGCTATGGCAGCTCCATAAAGCTCTCCTACACAGTCCTGTCTCTTAGTGGCTGTTTCTTTACGACTAAAGTAGCACTTCCCCATCTGCCGCCCTCAAAGCTAGGGGCCCTGGGCCCCATATTTCTGGTTCAGGAGTCTCAAGATCTCTGAAAGCACCAGATTGTTGGGATTTAAGTGCTGTTGTTTATTTTTATATCTGGATCCTATTTCTCCAAATAACTCCAAGACCATTGTGATTTTCCAGAAGTTAATTCAGTGATCCAGGCTAGGTGGGGAATGGTGGTATTAGCAAATCCTACCTGTTTTCTTTGCAGGCTCATTTCCATCATTGGTGCCCCAAATGCATTTCCCTGTTCAAAGTACTCTACCTTGGATATGTCTGCCTTTGCCTCCACGTCCCTCACCTATTATCTTTAGAAAGGTGGTTTTAAATGTTGGCCACTGAACATTTAGCCACATAGGGCACCAGCTCTCAGAGGTTTCACAGGTAAAGGAGAAGGCTGGGGGAAATGAAATATGGTTCAACACAACAGAGTAACCCACACATTCTGTATGTTCAACAAGGTCTTTACTCAGGAGGCTGGCGATGAAGGATGCTAACATTTCTCAAACTGCCATCTTCTCCCTTCTTTTGGGCAACCCTCGAATTCTATTCGTGGTTATCTATGGATTGTGGAGTCATTTCCCGGCTCGGGAGGTTAGGAAAGGCATGTGAGATTTGAGGGTCACAGGAGTTTGGAAGCACTGTTTTTCTGGTTTTCTGTTACCTCCATTTTAAAGCCGTGATACTTCCAACTGCCCTTTTTCAGTAAGCTCTTATTGACTACTCTCTCGAAACTAAAAGATGCATATCCAGTTGTACAGAGGGTCAAAAGTGTGCCCAATTAAGCCTGCCTTGACTTCGATATTGCAACTCACTGAAGACACACAGTGGAATTTCTGGTAGACCCTTTGCCATAACCCACAGGGAACTCTAGCTGTACATGGGTTTTACTGACCTGTTGGGTCTAGCTGACTGTGCCTGACGGTCTCCAATGACCAAGGTGTCCTCATTAGTTCTGTGCTATATTTAGTTAAGCCTGAAATCTGTGCCCCTAATTTAATCACACACCAGGTAGCCATGGAGATGACATCAAGCCTCTGGCTGCCCCATAAATCATTGCAAATGCTGAAACTAAAATAAACAAGATATGCAAATTGGCTTCCTATGTAAATAAAAGACTTTGCCTCCAGGTGTCGGGATTAACTGCTTTGGGTTCACTGATGTTTGTTCGGATTCACAGTGATTGAAAAATATCAGAGTCACAGCCTTTGTCTCAATGCCTGCTTTTTTTCCTTTTTGTCTGTTGCAGATATATCAACACTCCTATAGTGGATATTATGTCCTGAGCAAAATTCCTCATGGGTAAGAGTGTTCTTTCCTTTCTTTTAATTAGAAATCTGCAGGGCAAAGTGAAGGGTAGAACATGGACGAACTGCTTAACTCTTAGGGCGGGAAATGGCATTCCAGTTCTCATAGCCAAGGGTGCTGATATTGCACACCTCTGGGACTCTCCCTAGATAATGACACTAAGGATGTCAGGGGGTCACTCGAGTCCACTCACTTCCCCATTAGTGAAGCCCCCTTCCTAGAGCAACTCTGCTCTCTTCCTGTGCTGGTTCCTGCGGTTGACCCTGGAGGTTTTGCAGAGCGGGACATTCCCCTCTGCTTTGTAATCACCTGCAGCCTCCTCTGAGGCATGGTGGGGTGGCCCTCGGCCTCCCATGAGTGTTCCTGGTTATACCCACGCTGGTACAATGGAAGCCCCCCTCAGCCCACCACGTGTCATCAGAAACAAATCCGGAACATATTTATGGGATTAAGGTAAACTACTCTGGTCAGAAATTCAGCAGTGCGTTGGGAATGGGGTGGGCAAGTCCATCTCAGCAAGTGGGGTTAGCGCTGTTCTACCCATCACTCCAAGGGAGTTTCAGGGGCGTGTGTGTTCTTATTTTACGGCCTTTTCTGAGCTTGGCTGTGCTCCCAGGAGCCGGGTTTCAGTGTCTGCTTTTGACGGGGCCGCCCAGCTCCGTGCTGTTTCATGATCTCAGATTGCACTTCTAACCTCAATTGGTCTCTCAATAATGTATTGTCCGGAGCAGGAGCGAGTTTAGTTTTCAGTGCTGGGCAGACGTCCCCCACGTGACCCTCGGATGCGTGATCAGCCTCACCTTTGGAACCCAGAGCAGGAAAGACACGGGTTAGAGTTTGGTGAAACCACGTGTTGAGTCAGACACAGATGAAAAACAGTTGCAGGATGGTGAAACCACGTGTTAAGTCAGACACAGATGGAAAACAATTGCAGGACTAGGAAAGTCTGCAAAGGAGGCCTTTTTGTTGTTTTCATCTTTATTCTTCCTTTGTCTCCTCTTCCCTCGTCCTCCCCTCCCCTATTCTTACTCTCTTCTCCTGGCCTTCCTCTTCCCCACCTCAAGTTTCTGTTTCCTGTCTTCTGTGGTTTCTATTGTTGTGCTTTGCAAAGGTGAGGTGCTCAGGAAGGTTGATAAAGAAACTGAATTGTGCTGCAGGCAGTGTCGTGTAGGCTCCTGTGAATATCTAGGTTGAGGCATCCTCATTTCCCAAGCAAATTTTAACAGCAGGAGTGTCTAAAAAGCATTGTTCCATAGGCAAGCATTAATCACAGCATGAGTGTTTATAGCTGCTGCTGTCTGTTTACGACACAGCTTAGAAGAGAGGCATGTCCTTGGAAAACAAACACGAATAAACTAATTTCATGTGGGCTTTAGACAAAGGGAAGACACATGTGGATCTTCAGCAAAATGTGACCGATAGTTTCTGTTAGATTGTTAGAAAAATGAAGCCCAAAGAAAGCAAAGATGGCCCACGTTGCAAAAATAAAGTATTCATACAAATTTTTCATTAAAAGTATGTTTTAAATAGAAACCCAAATATTCTTCAGTAAAGAGGAATTATCCTATTCTTTCACAAACTGACATACATCTTCAGAGGTCATGGCAGGCAGGACTATAATTATGCCTTGAGATTTATCTGCCCCTTCTGGGAACAATAGAATTTGTTGTAGATGATAGATATTTCATTCCATCTTATATCAATTTGTAAAACTCGAAAGTCTAAAAGTGGTTGATGCCTAACGTATGGTGTTAATATTTTACTGCATCAGTCAGAATTTGGAAGAAACAGATTCTAGGAACTTGGCACAGGGGTTTGCCAAACAAGCTAGCAAAGCTCAGGCCAAGGCTCAGCTTCTGCACTTAGATACCCGGAGGCTGGTGATGATCCCCCTTGTAGATGACCTTAACATGGAGGGAGCTGCTTCTGGTGTCTTTAATAGAATCAGAGCAAGAATAATCCCCCTCGTTTATTGGTTGGCTTTCATATACCTTTATCCCTGCTCAACAACCTGCGAGAAAAGCATTCTTATTTCCATTTTAAGTGAGAGCTCCAAGAGGTCATCACCTGCCCCTCACGTCCTAGCTAGTGTATGCTGCGGCTGGAGTCTCAGCATAAGTCAGGTTGACTCGAAATCCCATGCTAGTAAAAAAAAACCTCGTGGCTCACTCCTATAATCCCAGCACTTTGGGAGGCCGAGGAGGGCAGATCACTTGAGGTCAGGAGTTTGAGACCAGTCTGGCCAACATGGTGAAACCCCATCTCTACTAAAAATACAAAAATTAGCCAGGCATGGTGGTACACACCTCTAGTCCCAGCTATTTAGGAGGCTGAGGCAGGAGAGTTGCTTGAACCCGGGAGGCTAGAGGTTGCAGTGAGCCAAGATTGCACCGCTGCACTCCAGCTTGGGTGACAGAGCAAGACTCTGTCTAAAAAACAAAAAAGCAAAAACAAGCAAACAAAAAAACCCTTGAGATTCATTCAAATTTCACAATGCAGAGAACAAATGTGATAACTATAAAGATGAGATTTGTAGTGACATACGAGTTTCTCTTCTGAGGGTTCTTATAGGATTGAAAGATGTAGCAAGTGTATTTATTGGAAAACAACCTCTGGGGGTACCAAAGTCAGTGTCCCACCCTGTCACCATGTCACTGAACACAGCTCCTCTGAAGCAGCGTTGCTCAACCTCCTCAATTCTTCCTCTTTGTCATAAGACCATTTATGAGAAATTAGCCAATTAATTCATGGCAAATATTGCCAGACTCTGATTTGTCTTAATGAGACAGTGACTCTCTGAGCGGTATCTCCTTGGGTCTGGAGCTTCGTGACCTCTCGGTCATCACTGTCACCGGTGTGCGTGCTCCACCAGGTGGCAGGAGAAGAACACAGCCCGGAGCTCTAAGTCTGAGGATCTAGGTGGGTTTTGGATAGGGAGGAAAGCACAATTGTCTTTTAAAAATAAAAAAGTCCCTACTAAAATATTTAAATGTACATTATTCATATACAAGAAAACTAAGAGATTTTCTTGATTTTGAAAACACAAATCTGTACCTTTTTTACTAATTCTCATCTTTCCTTTCCTCACTCCTCCCTCTAAATTAAAGCCAGAGGCTGTGCAATCTTCAGGATGGTTTTGTCATTTATAACTTGATTTTTTTTTTCCTTAGCTTCAGGCTTTCCAACCAGCCAGAGAAAAAGGCCTAATTAACATTCTCATGCCCTCTGATTTCTAGTGTCCTTCCATTTTGCAAATGGCAGAAGAGTTTTAGGAGGGACTACCTTTCCCGTCCCCGTTTCAGTCCCCTGTCCCCGCTGTTAGCTTCCCTCCTTCGATGGCTGTGACCTCTATAGCTCGGGCCAGGTAGAGCTCTTTCTGCATGGAAGGCAGGAGTTGCGATGAGACTCCCAAGGCAGCTGAATTTTTATATAATTAAAAATCCATGACCTAAGGGTAGGTTTGTTTGACTTTGACATACCAAGCTTCCAAAAGTTTTATTCTTAAATTGTATCCTAAAACGACACATGACTTTTACACAAATCTATATTTTAGCAGAACCAAAGCTAGTTATTTTTAACATAAAGTGTTTCACTAAAAGTTTTTATATCAGAATTGTAATAAAATAAAGCAATCTTCCATGGTGGAGGCAAGGGTCTGTTAGGTGTTTCCAGTAAATATTTTTGTAGACTTGGCTACTGCATGACATTTTCCTGGCATGACTTTTTTTTCTAGAATTAGTTTTGCCTTTATATTTTCTTAGGGTCTAAAGCCAAAGGCAAAATTATCTATATTTATGTCTATTATCTATCTACTTAGCTCTATACGCACACATATACATAATACACACTTTTAATAGTAGTGATACCATATTTCTAAAATGTAGTCTCATATCCATTAGGATTGTTCTGAGAGACATATGGACTCTTTTTCTATAACCAAAATCAATTTGAAGAAAAATCGGTCATATTGCTTTATTGTGTAACGTTGGCCTTTAGGGGTCTGGCAAACTCAGAGCCATAATAGAATAGAAACTACTGGGTGTTCAAAGGCTTTTTTTTTCATGACTGGCCGTCTTCTGTGGATATTGCTGCTCTAACTTTGCTTACCTACTGGTAATTTTCAGGCACCAAACAAAATTGTGAAAAAATTGTGTTTCTTTAGAATTGTAGTTGACTTTTTAAAGCCACATTCTGTATCTGCGGAAATAGGACACTGAGCCATCGCTTCCTTCCACCTGGAATTGCTCTCTAAGTTTATAGACTGTGATCCAGAGGAGTGTTCTGTTTATTTAGGAAGTAGATATCTAGGTGGAGAAAGTACAGTGCCCAGTGCCAGCCTAATAGCATCATGCCAGGGAATGACTTAGGCCCTGCAGCCACACAAACCTGAACTTGAGCCCATTCTGCTGTTGACTTCTGGCTGTGTGACCTCAAGAGCTGTCCTACTTCCATAGGTCTTAGGATCCACATAAAAAGATCATCATAATAGTGCCCACTTTGGCCTGGTGTGGTGGCTCACACCTGTAATCCCAGCACTTTGGGAGGCCGAGGCAGGTGGATCACCTGAGGTCAGGAGTTCGGGACCAGGCTGGCCTGTTGCAAAACTCGTTTCTACTAAAAATACAAAATTAGCTGGGCATGGTGGCAGGCACCTGTAATCCTAGCTACTTAGGAGGCTGAGGCAGGAGAATCACTTGAACCCAGGAGGCGGAGGTTGCAGTGAGCCGAGATTGTACCATTGCACTCCAGCCTGGGAGATAGAGCAAGACTCCATCTCAAAAACCAAACCAAAACAAAACAAAACAAAATAGTGCCCACCTCATAGGCTTGTTAGAAGAATTAAATGGAATGACTGGGTGTGGTAGCTCACGCCTGTAATCCCAGCACTTTGGGAGGCCAAGTCGGATGGATCACTTGAAGTAAGGAGTTCGAGACCAGCCTGGCCAACATGGTGAAACCCCGTCTCTACTAAAAATACGAAAATTACCTGAGCA